CTGCATGTGAAAGCCAGATCCTGTCTGAATCTATGCAGGGCCTGGTTAGTACTGTCACAATGGGGCGGCTGCGGCTTTAAAGTACCAAACGGTTGTTGTGTCTTTAGGCAAGACACTTCACCCACATTGCCAAGAATGAGTCTGGTGAGTGTGTGGTTTGTGTTGATCAGAAGGGTTGCTTCGCTTCTGTCAGTGTGCCCCAGGGCAGCTATGGCTACAGTAGTAGTTTATCACCACCACCAGTGCAAGAATAATGTCCAGAAAGCGCTATATAAAACCAATGTGTTATTATAGACTTTCTACCGTTACTTTCCTCGCCCGCTCCGCATCATAAGCTCGTTGCCGTATATCACATTGTTTCGTTCAAAGCCCAATCATGATCGATTGCAGCATTTTGCCTTTATCGTTCTGTTGACATATGGTCGATATCCATGTGTTTCTTCTGTGTGTTATTTCCTTTTCTAGGTGGAGTTTTGCAGCTCACTAATGGGCTTCTGTTCACCACAAAGAGCAAAGTCGACACGTTAGAAGCAAATAAGGAAAGGGTAAAGAAGGAATAACTAATGAGTCCAGTCACATTTCCTGCACAGCACCAGAGGTGAGACTAATGTCGCTGTGATCGCTGCAGTGTTGATGCTTTAACAATAGGACAGCCATCGCCGGAGGTCACAGCCCAATTTATGATGTGCACCTGATCCCAATACTGCGTGACTCAGTTTGTTTAGTTTTATTATGGACAGAAAAGAAGTGTGTGAACAAGGTTGCAAGATGAATCAGCGATGGAATACCGTAATTTTCGGGTTACAAAGCGCAGCATAGTTTGGCCGAGTGTGTGACTTATACTCCGGAGGAATTTATGCGTGAAATGATTACATTCTATATTTTACTGTAAAATATAAAATAATTAATTAAGATGAAGCTATTCACATATTCACATAATTTAGTGATTATGGAGTGACACTGATTCTTTGGTAAACTTGTACCATGTTCTAAATGCTAAAGTTATTTGAAAGACTCTTACCATAATATATGTTACCATAACAACTATGTGTCATATTACATACAATTACTCGGCCTGTTGTTCTCTGTTCTATTTTCATTCTAAATTTCAAGATAAAACATCTATACTTGGTGTTGGATTTTATCAAATACAGTTCCCCAAAAAATGCAACTTATATCTTTTTTTCCCTTCTTTATTATGCATTTTCGGCTGGTACGAACACTGCTTAGAGGTGGATAACCCCTCTCTTTGAAAATGATACAATTTTGTTTTCATTCAACAAATACACCACAACACGCTGTCTTAGTATTATTGGAAAACATGTTGTTATTTGCAAATTTGTCAGAAAGAACTTCTTGAGTGTGAGATTTTTTTATTTGGCTGAATGATGCTAGTCCACTTTTTGTCTGACAAAGCTGATCTAAAGTTGTGACAGAGGCCAAATAAGCATCCATGTGAAAAAGAAAGTCAAGAACTTGTTAGATGAATGTTGTGACAAGTGTGTTCAAGTGTTTGTGTGCTTTATATCATCAAGAAAAAATAAAATTTGATCAGGGGCATTACTCCAACAGCTGCTACTACCAGCACTAATTTGACACGTTTATCAAGACCAGAGTAAAGCGGCGTTGTATTTGCGTTTACAAGCTGCACGTCATAGCTCAGACGAATGAGTAGCCAAGGTGCTGCGGCTGTATCCTGGACTGCACCATTAGGCCGACTCTGCAGGGGTAACTAAGGATGTGGACTTGTCAGCAGCCACAAGATTCAGCTGCACAAAGAGCAGCCCTCGAGACCTGATCCAGTTTTAAACCCCAGCATTTGTCAGCAGGTTTAATTTGTGACTTGGCAACCAGCCTCCCCCAAGGTCATACAGAGACCTTGGGGGATAAATAGGGGGATTCTCATTGGATGCATTTATTAGCCAGACGAACCAGAAAAATCTCTTCATTAGATTTCCTTTTTCTCTGATTTCTGACGATGCAACTAATTTCAGGCTTTCACTTTTTCTAATTTTCACTTCTCCAGTTCATCTATTTCACATGTTTCGATCTAAATGACTGTAATTAATAAGGAAAAATAACATTACCTTTTTACGTACTCTTTTTCACGTTTCTCATCTGATTATGTGTCAGGGGCCATAAATATAGGTATGTCAAAACCTGATAGAACCAAATTGTTTTCAGAGAGAGCAAACACTGTAGTTAAATGATTGTTTTATTAATTGAAAGGTCCTCCTGGTACCTCAGCTTTAAGGCTTGATATACTGTAGTTGAATGTGACAGGCTGAACCCTCAAAAGCCGGGTAATGGATGCTCTACAAGTTGAAGGAGGATTAGTGAATATTTACACAGCCTTTTTGACATTTAGAACTAAGTGTTTCTAGCATGGTATGTCATTAACCATGCTATTTTCATTCTTTATTCCATTACAATGCATAGTAAATATAATGGCCTTTTTACCAGACATTAACTGATTTGTTTTGTTTCTATATTACTACAAAATTTGACAAAACTATGAAAAATTAGTACCATCTTGTGAACCTCCTCAAAATGGAAGCTGAAACCCTTGCGTGGCCACATTAGGTCTGTGTTATTGTTGTACTGAAGACAATCACAGCTAATTTAACGTCTCATCGCCCTTTTACTTGGCTTCGATTAAGACAAGTGAAATGGCACGTTTCTCAGCTGCTCTATTAGCCGCGGCGACGCATTGAGAAGAGACAGAGCAGCCCAAGGTCAATGCTGAATCGATGAGTGATGTTTTGACGTCAAAGAAGCGCTTTATTTTGCCACACTGCAGCAGATTCAGACTGACGTGTTCGGGATGAGTTAGAAGAGAGGAAAAAAAGGAGTGCGTATAGGTATAACTCAGCAGCATGGAGTTGTGTTTTTTTTTTTTTTTTTTGCGCATCCATAGACTTTAACAGCCCATTCATGCAGCCAGAAGGAGAATTGTTCAAAAAGGACGAGCAGCAACAGTCATATGATCAGAGGTTACCATGGCAACTGATCCCAGCAGTCAGGCCCTTGGAAAGTGAGTCACATGAGTGGATGAGACAGGAAGCATATACGTGTGTGTGCACATGTTGACAGCTGATGCAGTGGTAGTAGTAGCCCAGTAGTATTGAAAGTGTGTGTGTTTTGAAAAGGTTAGCGGGCAGACTGGGGGTCATGTGACTGCAGCTTGTTCACTTGTGCAGTAAAGAGGCACATCCATTCTAATACATGTCCACATTACAAGAGCATGCACAATAAAGGCCACAGGCTAATAAATTACATTTAATGAATTGGCAAGAGGGGCGACAATGGCCCAGTTGGTAGAGCATTGATCTTTGAACCTTGATTCCCCCACGACCCATGTCATCGGCTCCCACTGATGCCTACTGTCGTCGTGTTCCTGGGCAAGACACTTAAAGGAGCTATACCCGTTTCTGCAAGGTTTGAATGTTTATCACTGTCTCTCAACTCGCTCACAAACTGAATTCTTCTTTGATAATTTTTTCGCTTTAGTTCCCTCATCTCGTCCTGCCTGCTCGTAGCAACGCCGCTCCTCATTCTGTGACTGGAGGAGAACGAGATACACGCTAAGCCTCTACTCCGCACCTTTTATGGCCTGAATTCATGCAAAAGCTTAAGTTTTTAATTAAATTATGGATTATAATACAACTTGTATGTATTAATTAGCATTTTTATGAACTCATAAAAATAAAAAAAATTTGATGTTGGTGGCGAAACCGGAGTGGCCGTAGGAAAACCACCTAGATATGGGGAAACATAGAAACTCCCCTCAAAAAGGCCAACGAGTGCTCGGACGCATGACCTTTTTTGCGATAAGGAATAAAAGTTACCATCTCAGCCTGAGACATCTCAAACTCTGTCTGCAGTCACTAATAACTGAAAACAAATGAGTTTAGGTTTTATCACTAGAGCACTGTCTTGATTGAAGAAGACTTTTTCCATCCACCACTAAAAAGTGCACAATGCAATGTAAATTAATTCTTACAGTGGACTACTCTCTATATGCTCTGTAATATAGCTTGTCCCTGTAGCTAGCATTGAATCTCCATACTATGACAGATAAAAACATTTACATAATGATGGACTCAAACTGTAGACTGCACCACAACCAGTGTCTTATGTTCACATCGAGCAGGCATGCCCAAACTAACTCATTTTATTTGGCCCTCTGCCTCGCCAACACACAGTAATCAATGAGGCGCTGTGAGCAGGGATTTCCTGTCATGATCCAGCCAACTTAAGCTCCACCAATGTTGTCATGCTATGTTGTAAAGCTGAGAGCCATTGGAATCAAGTCGTTAACTTTATCTGTATTTACTGACTTTTTGTAATTATGTTGCAACATCCCATAGGGTGCTAGTGTAGCTGTAGTGCTAAGCATTATACACATTCATAATTCATTTTAAAGCCTCAAACAGCCTGAATCCACTCAAAAGAGTTTTACAATCAGGGTCGTCGGCCCTTTGACAAGTCTGGATAACTAATGTGGCCCTATTACTACAAAGTTTGGACGCCCCAGGCATGATAACAATGTAATTGGGAGGATTACATTAAAATAAAACCTGCAGGTGATTAAAAAAAACACCCAGAGGTGTGGAGAGAAGACGAAGTGCATCCCTGGCAGATAAATCCAAGGGCGGAATAAATTGCTGGTGTCAAAGAGAAAGATGTGCCACAATTTATCTTCACTTGAGACACAACCATTAACGAGGCGTTAAGTCCACACTCCATTATCAAGAGCCAGACTACAGGTTTCGTTGACTAGAGTTCAGAGTTGTTCCACTGAGCTGCAGTGCCAGTGGGGTGTACTTGTATCTTGTCCCTAATGTTGTTATCGGTGTTCGGTGCTTGACATGATCCACCTGAGAACACTGCAGATGTTTGGGGATCGTCTGCTGACGTCCTCGCGGGCGTGTGACTCAAACTTGCGTCAGACCTCATCGTGACTTGCCATAGTGTTACCAACCTATGGGAAACCTGTTTTATTCCACAACACAGCCCACACCACGTGGACGCGGGAGGTGGGTGGTCACTTTCCCCTGGCTGGTTTTGGTAAAGTTGGAGAAGGCTGTGTGTTTGTGCGTACACGCACTCTCAGTGACTGGAAGCGTCTCCTTTGCGCGCCGCGATGTTGCGTACGGACATGGAGACTGAATCAGAATAAGGGGATTTATTGAGTCACGCTGTATTCTTACTGCCCACATAAAGGTGAGTAATGACACTGGATATTTTTGCCTTTGAGAATAACATCTGCGTAGCTAAAATAGAATAGTTGACAATGTGACTTGAGTACGAGCGTAGATCGTTCACCTGCCAAATGAACACTTCGCTGCTGCACTGACGGCGACGCTGCTCATGGAATCCTCCCTGTTGTGGTCGGTGCTGTAGCGCGGTGCGTGTGGCCGCGTCTGACACCCGGTTACAGCATCCATCCACTTTGGCCATGTGCCGTGTGCTATCGCCCTGCATCTCCACATTAGGATTCTAGTTTGACCTTGGGCAGGCGTCAGAGGTTGCCTGAGTCGGATAGTGGCTCAGGCCTGACTGGACGTGCCTGGGGATGCTGTGCAGGTGCCTTACTCTGGCTGCTCCATTATATTACTGTCAAAAGTCCTGCACGCCAATCCAATTTCTCCCCAAATAACATTAAGGCACTTGCTGTTTGTGTGCGTGGGCTTTAAACGGCGCCTGTTTATACGTGTCACTGTGTAAGTTATTAGCAGCTGTCCTTCAGGGGATATCATGCTATCCTGAGAGGAGGAGGCCATTGCTGGTGCTGCTGATGGGGTTTCATTTTTGCAGGAAGAGCCATTGCTTAGCAACCAGACTGAGATAAAAGTGGATAGCCCATCTTTGTGGAGAGCAGACAACCTGTGCTGTTGCATCATTAACACTGAAGCTTGGGACACTATGTATATGTATACTTCACAGAGAAACAGCCCAGTCACACTTTTTACTGGTGATAAAACTTAACACATTTTGTAGTTCACCAGGACTGTCCACTGCACATGATGTCCTGCAATGTGCCATCTGCCTCTGACTACGCCACAAGATACTACCAATAACATATCGAAATGTGCCTACTGTGGGACAAATAAAGGTTATTTTATCTTATCTTATTAACACAATCCTCCGTTTCTAATATAGTGCAAAACAAAAAAAGCACACATATTCTCTATCTCTAAGTATTGATCATGGCTGCACTATTCCATCAGTAAAATTGTCCCAAATGGTATTCCTGTGTGTGTGTTTTTCACTCTTAGTAGATTAGATTGTTAATCCCTCTTGCTTTGGTCTAGCTCTCAGTTTCCCCAGTTTGCTGCTGCTGTGTCGTGACTGCAGGAGCCACTGTTGAGGAATGCCATGTGCGTGCTACTACTGAGTGGGCTTAGTCCACATACTGCTCCAGAAAAGTCACTCGCTGGAATAACACTCAGCAGACTTTACTGTTTTTACTTTTGGATTCACTTCCTCTGTGAGCACCTTCCCGGCCTTTTTCCAATGAATGCAACCGTGAGCGGACATGCATCTCCACAAACCTGAGTGCTACTTGTTTGTATTTAAATGTTTTGATTTTCCTTTGTAAAGTTACACATGCAAAGGCACACCTGCACCGCGAGACACTTATGCACTACGTGTATTTTCAGTCTGTGTGCAGTTGTGTGTTTTCACAGTTTGATATTTAGTGTTAATTTATGAGCTGTCAATGCCAAAGATTTGTGTGTAGTTTTGAGTGCCTTTTCCCAACACTCTGTAGAGCTGAGCCTGGTGAGAATATCATGGTTGAATGATGATAGTTAATTGTGACTTTTTGATGTGTGGGTTGAAATATATTACATCAATTTAAGCAACGGTGAAAGAATTACAAAGCACAGACGATCAAAAAGACATATATATTTCAACACATTAAAGATCTAGCCTGGCCTTAACCATCCGTACACTCCGGTCAATTATCATTTCCCTGCATGTACTGTAACGTCTGGGTCTGGTCCCTGTGTTTGCGATTACAATCGGTTGAATTCAATCCGATCATTCAGCGAGCGCAGGAGGCGGGTGTTGTATTTAGATGTGGGTGACGTAAAAAATTTGCGCCGAACGGACAGGTTGTGGTTTGGCAATGGCGAAGAATGCGATAGTAAAGTATTCCGGTCTGGTTCTATCAATAAATTGAAGACGGAGCAAGAGGAATGTTTAGCAAAAGTCATTGCTGGCAAAGATTGTGGCGCTGCTCACCACGGGCTTTGTTAGCGGCAAAGGAGATGGCTAGGCTAAATGCTAATGACCAAATTTTACAAAATAACCGCCCTCTCCTCTTTTTAAACAAAACTCTCTTGTCTTATTTGACGAGCACGTATCGCCAGAATGATTGACAATTGGGAGGACCAAAAGTCTTCATGATCCAACCGGAAGTAGAAAATCCTCCTCTATACGTTGCATAAAAAGTGTTATAACACAAGGAATACAATGGAATTAAAATTCAGAAGAGTGCGGACAAGAAGGAAAGGGTTCTGTATTTCAAGATTGTGGAACAGTCTAGATATGATGTTAAAAGAATGTCATAATATTTTTCAGTGTAAAAAACAGTGTAAAGAATTAAAGCTGCACTAACTGACTTTATTTTTGTATTCATTACGAAAAGGCTATCCATGTCCATGCAGTGCATTGGGATATACTCATTTTGAAGAAAAAGTAGAGCAGATTTGTGCTGGCGCAGATTGTGACCAATCACAGCGGACCACTAGCCCCCATTTTTGTGAGAAATCTACAGGTCCCTGTTAGCACAGACGGCTGAGTTAGCACAACAAGCGGCTGAGCTAACCTGAAGCTTTGTGTGTCTTAGTCACCGGTTACTGCTTACACAGCGAGACAGCCAAAAGAAAGTCCCGTTCCTCCGCGCTTCCCGGTTCTATCGTTCTATGGTCACGCCATCCACGTGAAAATCCATATCCATGGATTTATCCATATTGGGAGACTCTAGCTCCCAATATGGAGCTAATTTATTAGATAAGAGAACCTGTATTTGTCTCAAAGTGGGTACAGTACAGTACAGTACAGTAATAAAAGAAGCATTCAAAACAAGGTAAACAGCTGTAAAACTTTAGAATAACTTAAATCCTCATTAAAACTGCAATTAACTCAAATTGTGTGATTATAATCCAGTTTATAATCATAATATATTTTCTTGAATTGCTAAATTGACAACGTATTAATCTCATTTGTTGACTTTTAATGTGAGACACAGCATCTCCCGTAATACTGATACAGTCAATTTAGTCTTTTTGATTTCATTGTAGAACAGCAATTAGATAATAGAAAATCAATAGACATTCACTGCTGGCTACAGTTGCCACTAATTATTTATGTGTGCAAAATGTCAACACTGTAATCCTACCCCTGTGCCACATGTTTTTCATGTTTGAGCTTCATTGACTCTGGATGAAACATCAGTTTGACATCACTCTCATCATAAAGGACCCAAAGAAAATAAAAGCTCTGAAGGTTTTGTTTTTTTAACTAATTTTCCATTTTGTTGAGCTTTTCCGAGGCTCTTTCTAATCCAAGGCCAGTGAGCTGCAGGCGGCATTCATGAGACACACATGACTCCAGCGCAGAATAATGGCCCCGCTGTAAAATGAATGTAATTTAATCTTTAGGTCTGAGCCGCTGTAATGAAGTGAATTAGAGAAATACCTAAGTGCGACAGTTGAACTGCTGCTCCAAGATGTTCAGCCTTTTGTAAACACAGAGAGCCTATATTTAAACATGTCAATGGTAGAGCAGGAGGAATACAATTGTTTGTGAATGAAAGTCTAATTATAACTTCACATGATTTCATGTTGTCAGAGATTTTCTGCAGTAATGATAATAAGTAATATACTCTAAATGTAATACTAGTGCGACCAACTCTGACTGTGCTTTTATGTCGTGTTACAGTGAGAATGTTGAACTCTAAATATTATTCCAAGGCCAGTTTGGGTTAAAGAGGAGATGATTTATATCCCTGTGCCTGATGGAAAGTGGAAAGGCATTTAAATGAACATGTTATATTTATCTCTATTTAGAAAATGACACAACGAGAAAATATATAGATTAAAATAAATCCCTGAGTGTTATTCACTGGGGAGTTTGTCACACCAAAGATGTGAACTATTCCCCAAAGAAGACACTTCCATGTGGTCTGAGTGGTGCTCCTGTTGATTGGGAACCACTGTATTACATCATATGTTGCAAAGTGGGGGTCGGGACAGCCAGGGGAGTCGGGGGGCACTTGCTAGGGGCCGCGAAATGATTTCCAGATTATCATTTTTAGATTCTACATTATATCGTATAATCTCTTTGATACAGACATTGTTCTTGGTGATATTAACACAAATAAACAATAATAATGAATGCCTCAACAATGCTAGTCCATAAAACCCACCCAGATGTTGTTTCTTTGATTAGTATTGATACTTGGTCAAATAAGTTAGTTTATTAGATGCATTCCTGTAAATGTTGTTGCCAATACTAGCAATTTCTGGAAGATATGTTTTTGAAAATGAAATATTATTAAGTCTGCTACATTATACTCATGAAACCCCTTTCTATGGCCACCACCTTAAAGAGAACAGGGAGTGGGGTGCTGGAGAAAGTAGAAACATATGGAACTCAGGTGCTCTTCTAGGTATACAGCCAAGGAACTTTTGGGAAGCAGGTCAAAAGTAGCGAAACAAGACACTCGTCGAGACGCACGTCTAACGGCATTTCCATGTCCACGCATTAAATACAGGACTTTTATAATTAACTTCAAATCCCTTTGATCCAGCTTCTAAACCCATCACACTTTGATTTGTGTTCAGCTCCTCTTGACCTGCTTCCCACCATGCATGTTCTAAATATTTACTATTACCACTTCTAGACACCTTTTATGAGAAAATAATACAGAGTTGGATTCAACTAACTTTTCACTTTATTCTTGTATAGCCCTAAATCACAACAGCAGTCATCTCTGAGGACTTAACTGAACCGTTGAAATCACCAACACAGATCAGAGAATCAACAGTTAAGACACAAAAAGTATATAGACCACATATGTATCGGTCCATAGGGAGAGACTAATGACCATGAATGTTGATAAATGTCCACACATGTTGTAGAATGTAGTGTGTCCTGGATCATCACCACAGTCCTTCTTGTTAGACACTACTTGGATACTGACACAAATGATGTTCAGTTCAATTTGTTTCAAAATGTCTAACTCCAAATAGACTCCATAGTTACCCGGAAAAATGTTTCAGCTGCCTCCATCCATTGTTCATCACAACTTTATATTACATTGTGATGAACACAAGCTGGTTCACACATTAATAAGGATGATTTAATGTTGAGATTTTTTAAACTTGAAAGTATTATGTCTCTTTTTGTCTTCGCAGTCGCAGCAAAAAGCACAACAAGTCTCCCGCTTCCCTCCCTCTTGACTGAGCCGCTGCGCCGCCGCCATGCCAAAGAACACTAAAGTGACCCAGAAGGAGAACAGCAATGAGCCGGTCACAGAGTCCGTGGCCGACCTGCTGTCTCTGGAGCACCCCATGGGCTTCAAGAGCAGTCAGATGAGCATGGGACTGAGCCCGGGCTCCACCGCTCCAGTCCGCGCCCTGCTCCCCTCCCCGGACCCCGACATAGAGGACGGGCGACCGGCCTGGAACAACAAGCTGGAGTATATCCTCGCTCAGGTGGGCTTCTCTGTGGGCCTGGGCAACGTCTGGAGGTTCCCCTACCTGTGCCAGAAGAACGGAGGAGGTAAGACTATTGCTCCGATCTATACAGTTGAAGGTGAAAATGATTGTGGTTTAGTGCTTATTTGGAACTTGTTGTTGGCGCCAAAATAATAGAATTGTTTCATGAGCTCTTGAATCCAGGACACTTTTGTACACTTAATGAAGGTCTGGTGGTGCTCAAAAGACGCAGATGTTTAACCTCGCTTCGGTCAGTCTACCCAAGAGCGTCATCAAAAGTGTCATCACACTCCTCACAAGCTTTCTCCTACGAGCCACCAAGGTCTGACAAGTGAATATACTGCACAATAGTATCATTTATTGGCAGTGGAACATCACTTGGTTAAGGTTGTGTCATGGATACTCTTCAAGAATTGCGCCAATTGTAAACCGAAACACAACTGATTGAAATATGTGATTGTTTTTATTCTAAGAGCATAAGATTATAATCAATATTCAAATTATATAAATCTCCAAAATACCCACTGTAAAAATCCGACCTCTAAAATACATTGATAATATAAACTGTGGAGTTCTTCCTAATTGGGGCTCTATAGTGAGCACTGAACATTTGCTTCAGGCTTCAGAGAAGTGCTAATGAACAGTCTTTGACACAGAGTCAGGAGATAGTTATGGATACAACCAGAAAGATGATACGCTAGTTACTACAATGACAATATTCAAAACACAGAACAACATGTTATGTCCCTGTGTGAGCTTCACTTCTATGTTGCACTCACTTTCTGTCATTTGGATCTCCAGAGTTATTGATCCATTGAGAGGCAGGGTCGGCCTATGTATAGTACCTCTGTGAGTAAATCACCTTTGAAAGAAACGTCCAAAGGTTTTATGATATGATCATTGTTGGTCATATTATTCACATGACTGTTTTACAGTTTTGGTTTGAAATAATAAAACACCTTCAGAAGCTTTTCTCTGATAACATTGTAGCTTGTTATTGCTGCAAGACATGAACATTATTTTGGTATGGATTTCCCCCTTCTCTGATGTCCACGCCCCCTCCCCCTGCGTGGGGAACTTTACGTAATGTAGGGAATTTATAAGTACCTGTTCTATTTGTAATTGATTAAGCCTAATTCATTTGAAGGGATAAGTTATTTAAACCACTGGGCACCAGTCTGAGAAGAAATAAGGCTTCATCGATTTTATTACTTCATTCTCATTTTCTAAAAGTGTGTGTTCTAAACAGCCAGTGTTAATTTACTAGGATTATCAAAACATGCAACAGCTTTGTTGACTGTGATTTATTCACCGAGGCAACTGTAATCAAATCACATTAATGCAGTGGTTCAATTCCATAATTACAGTACATTTACTGTATGGTATAACATTCTAGGCCAGAGTCGGAATGGTCAATGAGGGCCAAATTGAGTCCGTAAGCTCAGTCCAAGCCTCAACCAAGAGAAAGGAGCGGTCTTACTTTGGTTGCGTTGCTGGTGGGAAAAAGCGTTTTGTTGTAGAGAGTCCGAAGTGCACACTTTTGCGTGCTGTGTTACATGTGTGATCCAGTGATGACAAGGCCAGGGAAACGGCCACGGAGGCGTGAGGCTTATAGAGGCTGTCCAGCAGATCCTCCTGAAGATGGCAGGAAGTCAAGAGAGTGAGCCACAGTTTGGTCACGGAGAGAGCCTGCTCCCTCATTAGCCTAGTCCCGCCTCAGGGCAGATCTAGGCCTGGTAGAGTCATATAGACATGACAGTTATTCACATCACTTATGTTTCACACACAACTCAGATGAAATAGACATTACATTCACAGTATGAATATTGTCATTGAGTTATTGGGATCATTTTAGTCCATGTTCAGATATTATTTGCTTGATGATGTGGAGTCTGTTCCCTTACCGAGGGGGTCAGTGAAGCATTGTTCTTGCTTTTAGCTGACCCTGCCCCCGGCGTTGGTGTGACAAACCTCGGCTCCAAAAGCAGCAGGAGAACCACACCTGGTCGGAGAAGCTTGAAGGATCAGTTGAGATCCACATTGCCTCCTCTGTATGCGCAATCCTCCCACAGTGGCCAGCCTCAATGTTATTCTGAGCAACATAATGCGCCTCCTGTTTGTAATATTTTGATCGCTGATGACATGTTTCTCTGCAGGTTAATTGCATGTCTAGACCTCCCTGCTGAACTTATTATCCCTGTCGCACAAAGGTGTTTCATTCACAAGGCTGCAGCGTCATTTCCTTCTGTGATAAATTGTAGCTGTCAAACAATTAGTGAGTCAGCGGTGCAAAGCTACTTGTACTGCACTTGTCTCTCCCGCTAAATCACAGATGAGGGGAGACAGAGGAAACTCATTATACACTTTTTCTGAGATAAAAGTGAACTGGGTAAAAAACACTTAGGGTTTCTTATTGCTCTGGTGTGTACAAGGGGGCCATCTGTAGTCAAGAGAAATTTCCACTCAGAATTTTGGTTAATCTGACATGTATAGATTATCTGATAGTAGTGAGGTTTGTGACTGTATTGCTCATTATCTTTTCAAGATAACTTGTCCCATCAGCCTAACTCAAACCAGCAATATTCTCTATATTTTTCCCTTGTGTTGTCTCCGCATCTCAAAATAGACTTCAAAGCTGTATGAAAACTAGGCAGCTTCTGACGTGCAGATAATAATACCTGCCTCTGAGTTCCTGCCTTTGTCTAGCTGCTATTATCTTCAATCACAAACCACAAAGTCAGGGTATTTTTTGATTTTCTATGTGAGTGCAGCGTCACAGGGCCAATTGTCTTCTACCCTTTGTGGATGCCCATCTGTGAGTGCCATGACGCTGTCTGATTCTGACGTCAGCAAGTGACTGCTCTCCTCCCTCTATCTGTAAAAACATGGTTGTATCTGTCAAAGCTTTGAGTGTGGATGGACAAAAGAGAAATGTATGTGTTGATGGAGTAATAAGCGTTGAAAGGACAGAAACAGAGGCAAACACAAAGAGCCCACTCTTCCTGCTGTGTTATAATGAGACTTGTGCATTACGAGCTTCATCTTCTACCACTTATTCTCTCTGCAGCTGTGGTGACTGGACCGCGATGCAGCCGTTTTCGATACCAAACAATGTGTATTCAAACCTCAGCAAAATCACCTCTGAAGATGAATTGCAAAACATACTTAATAAACAGGAAGTAAAATATACAGTATGTCCTGAAACACAAACCTGACTCCTGCTTATTTCAATGGGCATAGTTTTGATCTTCCACATTTGAATCGCTGTGTAGAAAGTTCCAGGAGGTGAGGTGATCCCTGGTGTTTGTCTGTTTGTCTATGAGCAACATGAATGAAGATATGTGAGGCTCAGGTAACATGCTCCAAGGCCCAATAAAAAAACGGATTACATTTTGGTCTGGGTGTAGGGTTTTTTTCTAATCAGGTGTCTAGGCTCTACGTGTCATGGTGTGGATTTTGTTATCTTGTTTTTGATTGTCTGCCCCGCCTTGTTGCGTGTCTATGTGTACCCTGTGCTCCTCTCCCCTTGGCTGGTCCATTGTCTTTGCTTGTCTTTGTCCTTATGTTTTCCTGGTTTCTGAGTTTTGTTTGGATTTTGAGTTTGTTTTTACCTTGGACATTTAATTTATCATCATTAAATCTTTTTATTATTGCATTTTTGGGCCCTTCTTCATCTCAATACATGACACTGCGAGGGCTTTTCTAGTTGTACCTGTTTTACTTTGAATGTGCTTTAGTTTGAATTGTAGTGTTTCCGATCTATTGGGGACACATATAAAATGTATATGTATTCAAGTAAAGAATAAAATGAAATTTTACTTGCAGCCCCTTTATCACTACCTGGGTGTAGCAATACAGAGGCAAAGTTGTGTTCAGAAAGGCCACGTCTGAAAAGATTACGATAGAAGGGGCCCCAAACTGAAATTCACCTCAGGCCCTCGTTTTTATTACTCTGCCACTGTGTATCATAGTTTGAAAATCAAGTGCCATTTTGGACATTTCAACCTGGATTTCTCTTGGTTTCTTTTGATTCTTTTTGAAAATCAACCTTTAATTGGCATTCAATATTATTAAATCTCTTCTAGGCCTTTTACCCTTGCTAATCAGATAAAGCAATGCTACATTACACAGACATTTCACTGCGGGATTTTCCTATAATTTTCTTGCAAAGCACTTGCAGCAAGAAAATTATGCTCAGTTCTGCAGCTCTGTAAATCTTTGGCTGTGTCCTCTTTGTGTCTCAGGAGCATACCTGGTGCCCTACTTCATCCTGCTGCTGCTCATTGGGATCCCTCTGTTCTTCCTGGAGTTGGCTGTAGGACAGAGAATCCGTCGCGGCAGCATCGGCGTGTGGAACTACGTCTACCCTCAGCTGGGGGGCATCGGGGTGTCCAGCCTCATGGTGAGTCATGTGAGCGCTCTGCTGTGGACCACGGTCTATCATCAAAGTATTCAACAGTTTCACACAGTTCATATCTAAACATTTGGCTTGGATCATGTAATGGCTTTTCTCCACCTTCAGCCCAGGGCAGCTGTAATCATGTTGTATTTTGCTGTATTAATGGAATTATTCTGCCCATTCTGAAAGGCCTCCACTTACTCCATTGCATTATTATTAATTCGCGCCACCTTCATGTGAAAGCCTGATCTAGTCAGACCTCCAAATCAGAGAAGGGCCTGGTTAGTATTCGGGGCATCTGTAAACTCTCTCGCATCCAACTTAGAGGAGATGTTCCATGACAGAACAGCTTCTGTAAGTTGGATGGAGGAGTTGGCTCCTCCAGGAACATCAGGTGCCACAGTGGGGTAGCCGTAAAGTGCCAAACTGTTGTTGTTTCCTTAGGCAAGACACTTCACTCACTTCACGCCTGGAAGTCTAGTGTCTGCCTGAATGGTGATGATCGGAGGGGCCTATGGCCCATACTGGCTGTCTCATTTCTCCAGGGCAGCTATGGCTATAGTAGTTCATCATCACTATGTATGGAGTGAATGTGAAGAGTCTTTGAATGTCTACAAAAGGTCAAAACATGTTCTTAGCCCTGACCTTACACATTAGTCAGGATACTTAAGACAATAACACGTACCACGTCTGGCCACTTATAATATTTAGGTTTGATTGAACATTTGTTCTATGAAATTTTTTGTTGATAAACACACAACATTGATGCTTGTTGGACAGAAATCATAAACTGATGATCCTGTATGTGTTGTTGAGATCTCACTGAACTCAACTTGACTTATTTTTAGAGCTTAAATGTGCATTTCTGATCCTGACATAATCCATGCAGGGCATTTCCAGAAGTGGTGACCCCTGGTGCACATCCCATCAGCCTCAGCGTGCTAAACCTGCCTGTCTGCTCGCGTCTGTTTGCCTGACATGTGATCAATCTATTGTGTAAGGAGGGGAGGGAGAGGTCTGGTGCAGTGAGGCGTGTGGCAGCTCCGATGTGGCACACAGAGAGCCAACGCTATAAATACCTCGTGGTCCAGAACCAGTCTGAGCCCCTGAGAGGAAACACTTCAATAATTCATGTGGCTCCGAGCTGTGTGCTTTTGGAAGCTCCAGAACCAGCACCTCAGACAACTGCAGTCAGTCCACTGAAGCATAAGGAGAATCGGATTTGAATGTAATGAAATAGATTTTCTTGAACAGAGCTAATAATATACATTTATAAAGGAAAATGCAGATTTGTTGGTTTATAGTCAAATACATTTGTACAGTAGTTGTTATAAACTGTTGGCGTTTCTGCATTTAACAAAGCAGCTCTCTCAATTCTTTTTTTTAAGACCAGAGGAGTTTTGTCGTACCTGGAAGGCTTGACTCCTGGTGCACAGTCTTCCTCAAAACAATGGAAACTGTCATGAAAAAACATTCTGGCCTTTTAAAAAGAATCTTTTAGAATTTATCAGATCACCAAAGGAGACTCATAGAACTGTATTCGCAATATAATAAATAATGCATACATTTTTGGAAACTCAACTCACAAAGCGTTGTGCTTTTGCTCCAGTCACACCAGACTCGTACTAGGCATTGTGGGTGAAGTTCCTTGCCTAGGACCCAAAAACAGTTTGGCCCTTTATAGCCACAGCCGTCCCTCTGTGGTGCCTGGTATTCCCAGAGGTCTCCCATCACAGCAATAATTAAGCCATTCCCTGCTTAGCTTCAGAAGTCTGACAGGACCTGGGTTTCACATGAAGGTGGTGCCACAACATATACAGTAGATGTCATATTTCTAGCTACCTGCAAATGACGAAAAGAAAAAAAGGAATAGCCTCAGAAATTATGCCATTTACTAACAGCTCAATGTGTGACTTTTGTTGAAGGATCTGATGCAGTTTAACATTTCGGATGATAAGTTTTCATAGTGCACAAGTGATGACATGAATTTTACAGAATTATGCATTATTTAGTTCTCATTTTAAAGCTGTCTCTTTGTTCTTGCAGGTTTGTGGTTTTGTGGGGCTCTATTACAACGTTATCATTGGATGGAGCATATTCTACTTTTTCCAGTCATTCCAATATCCGCTGCCCTGGGCCGAGTGTCCCATCCAGAGGAACGGGAGTCAAGCCAGTGAGTCCATAGCACCAACACAGCAGTGCCATACTCAGCTTAGGAATTATTTAAGATAACAAGCTGTACTGTTGTGTAAGCTGGAAAGACATGACTCAATCACACGGACAGATCTTACACATCCAGGCAGAAAGGTCATTTGTTTGTGAAGCCATTAAAGGAGCTATACCCGTTTCTGCAAGGTTTGAATGTTTAGCACCGCCCCTCAACTCGCTCAATGGCTTCTCTTTTCCCCTACGCTCTCATCCCACGGAGCCATCTAGTTTAATTTGCGATCTGATACGTATGCTAACATTAGCATTAGTGCAACTTCTTGTAAGCTGTACAACAATCACTGATGAAATGGTACTAAAGCAACGCACTGCTATCACAATATATAAGTAAAAGAACACCAAATTTATTAATTTAAACATTAGAATATATTTGAATATTTAATTATAATTTATTATACAGCTCCTCACAGCAAAGTAGAACACTCCATTGACTTGAATGTAATTTCAAAACGTTCTACCCATTCAGGTGTGTAAAATACTAACATTACTCCGCAAGTACTACGAGCTTTCAGCGCCTGTCACTTCTTTTGTCTGTGCAGAGAAGCTAGCGGAGCTAGCCGAGCTAGCCACGCTCCATAAACAAATACAATCAATCAATCATTGTTAACGTTTTCATGACAAAAATACTGTTTTAATGTGACAAAAAGCGATTGCGATAAACCCGGAAGTAACCATTAACATGAAACGAACATTTTAGGACACATTTGAAGAGGATCTGATTATGGATTTAGCTTCGGTATATAAATGGGTAACTCACCGCTGATGTTCAGAATTCTTTGTTCAGTTTTCATGTAGTTCCAGAGAGTTTTTGAACTAGCTAGCTTAGCTGTTACCTGCCTAGCACGTCACGGTGAAACCTTTGGGAGCTAACTATTTTATTTGCAGTCATTAAATACATTTCGAATTATAAGGGCTGTCTAATATTTGTTTGCATATATATATGTATATATGTAAAAAAAATAATTTTAAAAAAATTCTCACCCTTCGCCCTCCGCGGGCGGTTATCCCTCTCTAAGCTCGGGTCCTCTACCAGAGGCCTGGGAGCTTGAGGGTTCTGCGCAGTATCGTTGCTGTTCCTAGCACTGCACATTTCTGGACCGAGATGTCCGAGGTTGTTCCAGGGATCCGCTGTAACCTCTTCTAGCTTCGGGGTCACTGCCCCGAGTGCACCGATCACCACGGGCACTACTGTCACCTTTACCCTCCAGGCCCTCTCCAGCTCCTCTTGGTATTTCTCAAGCTTTTCATGTTCTTTTTTCCGGATGTTACCATTGCTTGGAATTGCCACGTCCACCACCACGGCTGTCCTCTGCCCTTTGTCTACCACCACAATGTCAGGTTGGTTCGCCATTACCATTCGGTCGGTCTGTATCTGGAAGTCCAACAGGATCTTTGCACGCTCATTCTCCACCACCTTTGGAGGAGTTTCCCACTTAGACCTTGGGGTTTCCAGCCCATACTCTGCACAGATGTTTCTGTACACTATGCCAGCCACTTGGTTATGGCGTTCCATGTAGGCCTTCCCTGCCAGCATCTTGCACCCTGCAGTTATGTGTTGGATCGTCTCAGGTGCCTCTTTGCACAACCGACACCTTGGGTCTTGTCTGGTGTGGTATATCTGGGCCTCTATCGCTCTGGTGCTCAGGGCCTGTTCCTGTGCAGCCATGATGAGTGCCTCTGTGCTGTCCTGTAGGCCAGCCCTTTCTAGCCATTGGTAGGACTTCATGAGATCAGCCACTTCTGTTATGCTCCGGTGGTACATGCCGTGTAGGGGCTTGTTCTCCCATGATGGGCTCTCCTCCAGCACCTCCTCATCTCGCCACTGCCTGAGACATTCACTGAGTACGTCATCCGTTTTGGCCTTCTCCATGATGTAGTTATGGAGTTTGGATGTTTCGTCCTGGACAGTGGCTCTCACACTCACTAGTCCTCGGCCTCCTTCTTTACGGCTTACGTACAGTGTCAGGGTACTGGATTTGGGATGGAACCCGCCATGCATGGTAAGGAGCTTTCGAGTTTTAACATCCGTGGTCTGAATCTCTTCCTTTGGCCACCTGATTAGTCCTGCAGGGTATCTGATCACTGGCAGGGCGTAGCTGTTAATTGCCCGGGCCTTGTTCTTGCCATTGAGCCGGCTTCTTAGGACCTGCCTTACTCGCTGGAGGTATTTGGCAGTTGCCGCTTTCCTCGTCACCTGTTCGAGGTTGCCATTTGCCTGTGGTATACCGAGATACTTGTAACTGTCCTCAACGTCTGCTATTGTTCCCTCTGGGAGTGAGATCCCTTCTGTGTGGACTACCTTGCCTCTCCGAGTCACCATCCTGCTACATTTCTTGAGTCCGAATGACATCCCGATGTCATGGCTGTAGATCCTGTTTGTTTGGATCAGAGAGTCGATGTCTCTCTCGCTCTTGGCGTACAGCTTGATGTCATCCATGTAGAGGAGGTGACTGATCTTTGCTCCCTTCCTGAGGCGTCTATCCATAGCCAGTCTGGTCAATTACTTGGCTTAGAGGGTTGAGGCCTATGCAGAACAGTACTGGGGACAGAGCATCTTGCCATTTGCCTCAAGGGTGGTCTTCCACATTCCCATCGAGTTTGCAACGAAGTCCCTTAGAGCCCTGTTGATATTGTACAACTTCAAGCATTCCATGATCCATGTGTGTGGCATTGAGTCGTAGGCTTTCTGGTAATCAATCCAGGCTGTGCACAGGTTGGTGTGTCGTGACTGGCAGTCTTGGGCGACTGTTCTGTCAACCAGGAGCTGGTGTTTGGCTCCTCTGGTGTCCCTACCAATGCCCTTCTGTGCTGTGCACATGAATTGTTCCATGTGCCCACTTATCTTAGCCGCAATGATGCCTGACATGAGCTTCCATGTTGTGGAGAGACAGGTTATTGGCCGGTAGTTGGAGGGGACTGCACCCTTGACAGGGTCCTTCATGATCAGGACCGTTCGCCCTTCGGTTAGCCATTCTGGGTGAGTCCCATCTCTCAGCAGCTGGTTCATTTGTGCTGCTAGGCGCTCATGGAGTGATGTGAGTGTCCGTAGCCAGTAGGCATGGACCATATCAGGGCCAGGTGCTGTCCAGTTTTTCATACCTGAGACTCTTTCTCGGATGTCTGCCTCTGTGATGGTAACTGAGTTCTGTTCTGGGAGGTGGCTGTGCTCCTCTCTCAGGGACACTAGCCATTGTGCACTTCTGTTATGTGCTGTATCCTTCTCCCATATGTTCTTCCAGAACTGTTCAGTTTCCAGCCTCGGTGGGTCTGCTCCCCTGTTGTTACCCTGCCACTGAGCGTACACCTTCGCAGGTTGTGTTGCGAACAGCCTGTTCACCCTTCTGACTTCATTCTCTTTAGTGTACCTCTGTAGGCGGCTGGCCAGGGCTTGGAGCCTTTGTTTGGCAGTTTCGAGTGCTTCAGGTATGGTCATCTGGCTGTACTTTCTGGGTACTGGTCTTTTCATTGCACCTCTCTGGGCCTCTGTTAATTGACTCACTTCTCACCGAGTCGCCTTGATCTTAGCCTCCAACCGTCTTTTCCATGGTGGGTATTGTCCATGGCTCCCATGGTTGCTCTTATAGCCAAGCATCTCTAGGATCACTGCTGCTGAGGTGTATATCAGCTCATTGGTTTCAGTGATTGTGGTGGTAGGTATTGCTCTCACTGCTGCATTCACGCTTTCTATGAGATCCTTAGGTGGTACTTCACACAACCGCTGTAGCCGGTGTCTTTGCCCTGTGCCCATTCTAGCCATGATCTTAGCTTTCAGATCAGTCGCTGCCTCGTTCAGCGTTATCGTTTCCATTGGGGCTATATATATATAATATATATATATATATAATTACATTTTAGAACTATATTTGGAATTTTTAAGTCGAAGCCCTAGTGTTAAGCAGCACTGTAGGGGCTAGAGGACGCAGGCTTGTTCGCTGCTCGTTCTGTGAGTGGAGGAGAACGAGCATCCCGCTAAGTCTCTGCTCAGCACTTTTCACGGCCTGAATTCATACTCAAGCTGAATCAATGAGCTCAAGTTTTCAATTAAATTATGGATTATAATACAACTTGTATGTAGTGCTAAGCATTTTTATGAACTACTTAGAAAAAAATCGGTTATAGCTTCTTTAATTACCAAAAAAAACATTATCTCAAACTTGTAGTTCATGCATATCAGCTCAGAAATGTACATGACCTGGAGACTTATTGCCAAGACGGCTTTACCATCAGAGAGAATCAAAAACACATCCACAACTACCGTAAAGACTACAGGCTGTCATCAATGTTAAAGGGGAAATACGCACTTTTGGATTCTTCTAATTAAGGTCTTTTGAGAAGAATTATATTCACAATACACGTCTTCACACAACCACTAACAATTTGTTAATTGTTACAACGACTCTACTCGGTAAAAGAATATAGTGTTGCATCTGACAGAAGATAATACTTGTGGGCCGCCTTGCAAATCTTGGAACCTCAGAATGCTGAATCATTGTGCTTTCACCCATCCTTCATGTTTTTATTTTTCATTATATGATTATAAATGCATGAGTAAAAGAACATTTCCAAAGTCGTCCTGACCTTTCCTCTGTTCTGCACTCAGACTAAAGAGCGGTAAAGAGTCAAAATGATGAGACAGATATATTGTTGGGCGGGGGCTGTGCGTCACCAGAGCAGCGCAGAGAGACGGTCGAACGTGTCGATGCATAACTGCAGCTCTTAGACGTGGCATCAGAGCTCCAGTCCTCATTCACACTTCATCTTATAAGAAATCTGAGAGAAAGAGAACGCTGTCACTATAGTTCGTCTGCTCCAACATGTTGCTGATTATGAGTATGGACGCTGGGGGGATTAAGGCACTAATCTTTGTGCTATTTATAAATATTTGTTACCAATCCTCTGCTGAATACTTTCATTTTCTATTAATCAACTATTGACATGCAATGTGCGTTGGATGGATAACTGGATAACCCTATGATCAGGCCAGAGTACAACAATATTATGAACTTAAACAAAACAACAACAACAAAATGTCCTAAAAAGACAAAAACAGAATTCAAAATTAGCCATACGTTTTGATATGAGTTTATTTTATTTTATATTAGAATAGAGTTATTATTCATTTATCTTGTGCTGTAACACTGAAATTTCCTCACTGTGGGACAAATATAGGATCTCCTGATTCCTAATCTATTTGAGCTGTTCCAAAGTGACATAGAGGTATAGATAATGTCATACAGAGATCAAAAGAATTTAAAAAAGAGTAAGAAAAATATAATCCATAAAATTCATTACAAAAATAATACATACCAGATGCTTCCATAGCTGGTAGATTGTTTTTAACTGATCCCTCGTTTTGTGTGTTCTGCAGTTATGGTGCCAGAGTGTGAGAAGAGCTCAGCCACCACGTATTTCTGGTACCGACAGGCGCTGAACATCACCAGCACCATCGATGACACCGGGGGTCTCAACTGGAAGATGACCTTGTCGCTGCTCGTGGCCTGGATCATGGTCTGTCTGGCTGTGATCAAGGGCATCCAGTCCTCAGGGAAGGTAAGGGGTCTCCCACGCCTCTCCTCTGGGGCCAGCCTTTTTTAACAGGTGCATATTTCACAAAAGAGGCTATATCTCTATTTCTTTAAAAGCACAGGATTTTGATGAAACCTACGCTGTTTGGCTTGGACTTTTTCAGGAACAGGGGAACGTACAATGACAAAATCCCACACTGAGAGCTTTAAGTCTCACCTTTCCAGTGAGGTATTGTAAATGTTCTTAGCTAAGTTAAAATAATCTGTGGCTCAACAAATATTGTCAAAATCGTTCTAGATGGATGACACAGCATTTGATGTGTGAGCGGTTAGACTTGAGATTCAGATTTTGATTTGTCCATCCATCCATTTATCCATCCATCCATCCATTTTCTACCCTTTAATCCATTTCTGGGTCAGGGGGGTGGCAATCAGAGATGCCACCCAAGTCTCATTGCACCAGCCCCTCACTGACCCTCTGCAGGTGGTGAGTCCACAGGAGGACAGCTGCTCTCTGAGCTGCCTTGATCTTACAGTGGGGGCTTTTTGGGCAAAGTAGGGTTAAGTGTCTTGCCCAAGGACACAACGACAGCAGTCATCAGTGGGAGTCGGTGGAGAAGGTGTAGAGGTGGGAATTGAACCCACAACCTTCAGGCCTTAAGGCCAATGCTCTACCAACTGAGCTACTGTCGCCCCATCCATCTTATTCCCCTTAATCCATTTCTGGGTCGGGTACAAATTGTATCCCGGTTTGATCCCTGGTTGTTACTTTTGACATTGCACAATGAATATTACCAAGAAAATGCTCCAATGTTATTATCTGACAAATCTAATTAAGTATATCAATCAAGTTTAATCAAAAATATTGTTTTTGTAAATGGTGCTAAACGTTAAGATGGGATCTGTTTTACCGTAGCATGACTTCATCAGTTCTAGAACACTGCTCCACTCTCCCTAAACGTCAACACTGTTTTTATACATTTTTATTCACAAACTGTGACTTTTTTGGTGCACCATTGAAGTTCCGAGGCACATGTCATGCCGGGGCGACAGTAGCTCAGTTGGTAGAGCATTGGCCTTCAGGCCTGAAGGTCGTGGGTTCAATTCCCACCTCTACACCTTCTCCACCGACTCCCACTGATGACTGCTGTCGTTGTGTCCTTGGGCAAGACACTTAACCCCACTTTGCCCAAAGCCCCCACTGAAAGATCAAGGCTATGCTCACACTCAGAGAGCAGCCGTCCTCCTGTGGACTCACCACCTGCAGAGGATCAGTGAGGGGCTGGTGCTATGAGACTTGGGTGGCATCTCTGATTGCCACCCCCCTGACCCAGAAATGGATTAAAGGGTAGAAAATGGATGGATGGATGGAAAGGCTATTTTGGTTTCCATTTATAATGAGTCACGACAGCACAAAAGCATTTTAAAATGTAGATCTGTGCACAGAGCTTGGAAGGTCTCTTGACACTTGTTATATACAGTACATGAAGCTAATCTCACACAATGAATCAAAATAATCCCTTTTTTAACTAAACTTTGATTTGGCTTGGGTGGGCGACAGTGGTTGGCCGAGCGAAACACTTTGCCTGAAGCCCCCACTGACATCCATCCTCTTGTATACTCACCAGCTGCAGCAGGATCAGGGAGGGGCTGGTGCTCTGTGATTTGTGCATTCAATCTTGAGCTTTATGGCTGACGTATTTTTCAATATTTCTTTCTCCTTTTTTTCTGCAACACACAAACAGTTACCTCATTGTTACATCACGATCGAAATACTCCACATAAAGTGCTGCATTTTGAATTTGCTGACGCAGATCAGCAGGGTTTAAGATGTTTTAGAGTCACAGCATCCGCAGTGGGCTATTTCTATCCCTCATCTGTATTATGGAGGAGAGTGACATGCAACATTAATAAGCTTAGCTAAACTGAGCAGAGGCGGGCTCACGATGCAGATGGAAAAAAGCTCTTTGGCAACAACTAAAACAGCATCCTGTAATCGGGGCCTGGTTTACAAACCACAGCACGACAGTCAGCCCACATCATACACAGGGATATGATAAGGAACAGCTCTCCCCTGATCCATTGATCCATGGGACTTCTGTGTCAAATTCCCAAAACCAAAAATGTTCACAACTTTATTTATTATACTGTTGGTTCCGATTGTTAAAAGACCTGCAGCAACTTGGCCTGCACATGTAGAGACGTAACGTAACATTTTCACAAGAAATCTTTATGTTTCATTAAAACAAAAAAATGTCATAACAGAGGAGTCTTTTTTAACCCACTAAACATCCGACGTCCACTCAACCTCCAGATCACGTCAATATCGCGTCGGTCGGTCGTGACCTTTTATTTACGTCCAAACGACGTCTGTGCAAGGTGCGCATCTGGACGTAAAACAATGACCTCCCATATACGTGGATATGACGTTCAATCCCGACCTCCCCTAGACGTCAAAAACAGGTCATCGGCCGACCGACGCAGTACGTCTTGATCTAGCAATACAATATAAAGGCTGTGAAGCGATCTCAGTGTACCTGACGGTAGTGTAGTGGTTAAGCAAACGTGTGCAGTCTTGGTTACGTGGGTTCGAGCCCACGTGTGTGCATTATTATCTTTATATATTTGTTTTGATTTTTAACGAACAATTTTTTCCTGTTTGGTTAAAGACTAATAAACACTCAACATAGGATTACGTAGTGGCTAATAATAAAACTTGTGAATGTATGCATTTGTTGTGCTAACAATCTCAAGTTTGCAAATAAGGGGTGAGCACTTGAGATTTTATGCAAATGCATGGGTTCACAAGTTTTATTATTAGCCACTACATAATCTTATGTTGAGTGTTTATTCGTTTTTAACCAAACAGAAAAATTGTTCGCTAAAAAGTGAAAAGTCAAAAGTTTTCCGACGGGGATTTGAACCCACGTCGTTGCGACTGAAGTCTCATTACGCAACCGCTACACCACAGCCAGGCATGTTTCCTGACTACTGTGAAAAAATAATAGATAACACCCTAAACAACCGACGCACACTTATGCGCCGCGCAAGTATAACTTATAACTTTACAGCCTGACATGTGAGTCGCTCGGTCGAGGACCTGTTTTCCACGTCTAAACGACGTAAGGTGTGCATCTGGACGTAAAGTAATGCCTTCCCAGACGTTGATATGACGTTGAATCTGTCTCTGTCGCTGCCCTGCTTTATTTACTTGGAATCATCCTCTCTAGTAAGTACACAGTCTGCACAGTTTTTAGATATAGATGTATCATTTCCACATTGAAAATAGTTGGAGACAGAAAGTAAGTTGTTTTCTCACGTATACGTGGATTTTGTTAAGTATATTTTGTATATTATCTGTATTTTGAATTGCCAGTGCATGAATCTATAATAATAACGGCTGGCACTGCTCAGCTGAAAGGGAGACACCTTTTTTTAGTTTTTAAGTTAAAGTTTAAAATATGATATTGTTTTTCATATTTCAAACTATTTTTAACACATTAGAATTCTTAGGTTAGACTGTCCAACAAAGTATGTGTTAAAAAAGATTAAGATTCTTGAGTTTTAAAATAATAATTCAATTCTAAAATGTAAAGTTACTGTATATTTCACAATGGTTTATAAACTGCAAAAAGACAACAGTACTTAGTAAACTAAGTTTAAAAACAGGGAGATCAGCTTTAATATTTGGGACACTCCCATCATTTAGACACCTGTGATGTCATCAGTTGGAGTTGAGTTCAGGTGTGGGACCATGTGGGACCATGTGGGACCATAGGAGCACACAGATGTTACCTGCTGCAGAAAGAGAGTTTAATGTTCATGTATTGCTTTGTTTAATAAATTGATTTAATGTCTTCCCAGGTCTTCAATGTCAGAGACTTTCACTTCTTCTCACTGTGGCTGTTTAAATGAGCCACTACAGTTGTTATTTTTGTTATTGTTAGCTGCAAATATTAAATATCCATTCATCTGCTGGTAGCAAGCTAACTAGCGCTTGCAACTCTATTCAATTTCTTACTTTTTCTTATAAACTTTAAAACCAGCCATATGTTAATTAAAATACATTTACCTTTGCTAATGCAGTCAATTATTGTGAAATCCATAGAGTATAATTTCATGATTGTTGCAATAACTAATGTTCTGTGTGTATTCCTAATGTGTCATGTGTGTTTGAGTCTTACAGGTGTCAGACTGTGTTGAAGGTGTTCAAAGGTAAGAATCACACTCTCACACATTGATTGTTGTTCTGTATTATTATGTTGTTTTTAGAATAAACCATTATTTGGTGTATTCTCTTTGAAAACATCTATCTTTTTCTCAGATTGTTCAGCAACTCACTCAAGATGAGGGAAAAGAGCAACAAGGGGAAAATGCCCCCTCGGAAATGCAACATATAGAGTAATACAGGGTAAGTAGCTTTCAGGGCTCATTTGTGTCCATGTGCAAAACAAATGCACATTTGCAATTGTTTTTTACATGGAATTACTCCAATGACCAAAGCCTTATCCCAAGTTTCTCAGACGGAGTGTCTTCCAGTGTCTCGAGCTAGTGCCAAGGTTTGTATCACATGGTGATGGATCGAGTGGTTTGAGGCATTAATAGAAAGTTATGTGTTGTTATATCACTTTGCCACATTATGTTGAAACTAAACATGTTCCACATTTTCAGGTGCTGTGCTTGGACCTTGTGATGAGAGACTGAAGACCAAGAGAGGACACATGTTGGAACCTCAACATTCAATAAATGCATTCTTCTGCCTTTCAGATTGTGTTTTTACATCTGGGGAACCTAGAGTGTAGCTTGTGCCTGTTTTAATACTGATCCAAACATAGGCGCTACAATCATGTTTTTTTACTTTGGCATGAACTGTTCAGTACAGTAGTGTTCATAACACTGTGCCCTGTGTGGTTTAACTTGTACTTTGATGTAGAGAAACATGATTTTTAATGCAGCTCCATTTGCAATAATGACTGATATCCTTCTACTACAGTTGTTCTAATGATTTTTGAATGCTGTGTTTATCGTTTATTGCCCAGAGTCAGAACTAAACATGATAAAGCTGCATTTCAGATTCACAAGGCTAAAATCTGGAACGGTCTTCCTGGAAATGTGAGACAGGCTTCTTCTTTGACAATGTTAAAATCCAGGTTTAAAACACTTCTGTTTCTGCTTCAACTGAGAGATTTTATGAGAGATTTTATTTGTTTCTTTTTAATTTACAGTCAATATTTATAATTGTAATGCCTTGTTTGATTGTTTCTATCTTTTGTTCAGTGCTTTGAGTTTCCTTTTGTTTTGACTGTGCTATACAAATAAACTTGCCTTGCCTATTGCAAAAAGTATGTCTCGACCAGTGAGTGATTCTGCAGAGGTCAATAGGACTGTAAATGGACGTCATATAAACGTCAATATTTTGGTCATATAAGACGTCGAGAGGACGTCGGACCCGACCGGTTCTGTACCACATTGCAACCTTGAATGAAGTGGCCGCGACGTCATTTGAACGTCCAGATAACGTCCAGATGACGTTGAAATGACATAGTTTTGACATCTGCTTGCTTAGTGGGAACAACGGAAAACGAACGTCATATGAAGGCAATATTTTGGTCATATAAGACGTTGATAGGACGTCTCGGACCCGACCGGTTCTGTACCACATTGCAACCTTGAATTGACGTGCCATCAACGTAACATTTGGAGGTTGAAGTGACGTCGGGAAACGACGTCGAGAAAACTTTCATTCTGCACCCACCAGTGACCTATATTCTACGTCGGACAACGACGTTCAAATTACGTTGATTCAACGTCGGCTTGCTTAGTGGGAAGTGTCATGTTGTGAACAAATATATATAATATCATTTATCTTATACAAACGGTTGACTCTTTTCCCTGCATGTGAAAACTTGTGTTAGAATCAAACTGTTTTGAGAACCAGGAAGTTCAATCATTTTAAGTTTTTGTGTGTGTAATTTTGTAGCCTTGTTGGATTTGCGGGTCTCTCCTGACACTATCTTGTTGATGTGCAGGTGATGTACTTCAGCTCCCTGTTCCCCTACGTGGTGCTCTTCTGTTTCCTGGTTCGAGGTCTGATGCTGAAAGGAGCTGTGGACGGCATCGCGCACATGTTCACTCCAAAGGTCAGAGAAAAATGACACAGAAAGAGGATAGATACCGGGAAAAGAGTCCAAGGGCTGGATGTGCTATATTTAAGTCTCCCAAACAGTACATGGAGAAATACTAGACAGCTCTAACAGCCATCATTGACAGTGACAGTGTAATGACATCCCCTGTAGTAAAAGACCTATCATCCACTGCTCTGGTTCCTAACCCTCATTTATCATGTGTTCATTTGACGTTAGTGACGTTCAGTCAATGCATGGAGCTCCTTGAATGATGTGTGTGATGGAGCTGTCAAGAGCTATAAAACAATTGCGGCTCATTCATTGGGAAATGGGATGACTCCAGAGTCGTGGCGCCCTCTTGTGGTGTGAATTTAGTATTACAACAGTGATAATGAATTGTAAGTCAACAGTATTGTGTTTTGACATATGGAATGTGTTATTTCCCTGTAGTTGGAGAAGATGTTGGAGCCGCAGGTGTGGAGAGAAGCTGCCACTCAGGTGTTCTTTGCCCTGGGTTTGGGCTTTGGAGGAGTCATTGCCTTTTCCAGCTACAACAAACGGGACAATAATTGTCACTTTGATGCCACCCTGGTCTCCGTGATAAACTTTGTGACTTCCATCCTTGCCACACTTGTGGTGTTCGCAGTGCTGGGCTTCAAAGCAAATGTCATGAACGAGAAGTGTGTTGTGGAGTGAGTCTTTTTCAAATCTTCCACATAATAATCAACATTCAACATGTATGTTTGTGGGCCATTAGAACACTTCCACTTATGCTCTTATAATAATGCTAAATTTGGTGTTGTTTATGGCATCACAATGAATATACTCCACATATACAGTCATTCAAGTCTACCGACTTCCCACGCTTATGCTTATGTACATGTGTCTAGTTCTTCATATAATAAATGTTTGCCTTTTCCAGAAATGCAGAGAAAATCCTGGGTTTCCTGAACACGGGGGTGCTCAGCAAAGAGCTCATTCCTCCTCACATTAACTTCTCGCACCTGTCGACTCAGGACTACGCAGAGATGTACAGTGTCATAAAGACAGTGAAGGAGGACATCTTTGGGGAGCTGGGGCTGGACTCCTGTGTGCTTGAGGATGAGCTCAACAAGGTCAGCTCCGGACAGCAGTTAAATGCTAAAAGCAGTCGTATAATACAATTGAATTGCTGCAGAATCATTACTGTCTGACACTATCTCTGCTCTCGTGCTTCAGGCAGTGCAGGGCACTGGACTGGCCTTCATCGCCTTCACGGAGGCCATGACACATTTCCCCGCCAGCCCCTTCTGGTCGGTCATGTTCTTCTTTATGCTCATCAATCTGGGCTTAGGCAGTATGATTGGCACCATGACAGGAATCACCACTCCCATCTTAGACGCCTTCAAGATCCGCAAGGAGATTCTTTGTGGTGAGACATTAGACAGACATGTAGATGTATCCTGCATGTTAACTCAAAGCCAGTATAACTCTTGTATTTCTGTCTTGCAGTGGTTTGCTGCATCATCGCCTTCCTGTTAGGTCTTTTGTTTGTGCAACGCTCAGGGAACTACTTTGTCACAATGTTTGACGACTACTCGGCCGGTTTGCCTCTGACTGTGGTAGTGATCCTGGAGAACATCTCTGTAGCTTGGATCTATGGCAGCAAGAGGTGAACTTTGATTTCCATGTTACAATGCAATTTTGCTTGAGTGTGTTTCTAATCATATTTATCCAAACGTTTTCTTGATCCAGGTTCATGCAGGACTTGGAGGACATGCTTGGCTTCAGGCCCTATTCCTTTTACTACTATATGTGGACGTATGTGTCACCTGCGATCCTCGTGGTGCTCATCATCGCCACTGTTATAGAGATGGCTGTGAGTCCTGCAGGATACAACGCCTGGTCAGAGTCAGAGGTAATGATGCAAGCTACTGTATCTACTGTGTTCAGTTAATCCAAACATATCACAACACATACTTACTGTATATATAGTAATATTAACAATACAATGCCAGTGCATTTATATAACCTGCAATTATGACAAATAATGAATGAATAACATAAATGGCGAGTTTAAGCATTCCTTCCATCCTGTTCTCCCTCCAGGGCACGGAGCACTTCGAGAACTATCAACCTTGGGCGATAATCATGGCCTATTCCCTGATTGTTCTCGCCATGCTGCCTCTGCCCCTGGTCTATTTAGCCCGCCGCTTTAACCTCCTCTCAGACGGCTCCAATAAGCTCTCTGTGTCCTACCGAAAAGGCATGATGAAGGATATCTCCAACCTCGAGGAGCAGGATGAGCAGCGCTTCATTTTGGGCAAAAACCCAGCCGAGGCCCCTTCTCCCATGCCACCACACCGCGCTTACCTGGGCCCAGGAGGTACTCAAGAGATGACCAATACTAACTACGGCACAAGCACCAAAACGGGATACCAAAACATAGGGTCGCCCGAGTCTGAACTATGATCTGTCTGCTGCAAGCTCACAAAAATCCCTGCTGCAAATGAAGAAAGGCCAAGGATGTGTCCACTGCCCACTGTTTCACACATATAAATCCTGGAATCTCTCAGTTATGCCTCACCTATAGACTGCTATCTACCAATTGTCTGCCTCTGTGCTGCCAAGAAGCTGCCAATCCTTTAGAGTATGAAGGGATCAAGAAGCAGTGAGGTTATGCCAATACAATCACAATTTCAAGTATTAGACGTCTAGAAGCACACATTTCTGTTTTGACATGGATTTTTGTGAGGCTGGGGTGTGTGCAACAATGTCCATGAACCAAAAGGTAATAGTTTAAAGCTATTTTTCAAGACACATGGATGTGACTCTTCACTTTGCTGTGCTGTCTTTTTAGAGGATGTGGGGAAAGAATAGAAGGACAATATGTAATTTCAAGTTATATCTAATAAGGGAATATTCTTGAGTCCGTACCAGACGAGTAATTGTTCCATGTAGTGAAAACGGTGTTACAACAAAGCACATTTCTCAAGGTTACTGTGCCTAACACAATCCAGCAATAACTAATGTCCTTCTGCGCATTCCCCACAGCTGTTGATTACTGTAAATAATATGAATGTGCAATAGTCTTATCTGTCCAGGTTAAACAGTGTACAGCATAACCACTAGGAGGCATATTTCACTCAATTCCACCCATGCACAAGTAGGATATTAATGTCTCTGAGCCTTTAACGCAAAGCAACTACTTTGTTTTTAATCTGTTATTTTTATGAAAATCAATAGTTTCTTTGAGTGCATCATGATGAGGCCGGAGATGGCGGTGTATTTGTATTCCATACCCATGTGTCTAGATATAAGACATATCTGGAGGTGGTTTATCATTATGTATGTCTTGCTGTGACTGAGAGTGCCCCGTGACCCAGTCTTTAGTTAAAAATAGCGCTGCTTTGCCCAGGGAAATACGCACCATAGTTACCGGTCTTCATCATGGTGGAGAAGAGGAGACACTTTCCTCCTTTTGCTTCCCCTATGCTGTCTATTGATCAGCAATATATATCTATAGTTTATTTGTACAGACCTTGTAGCGTTTTCTCAATGTTTGTATGGGTTCACTGCTGTGCTGTGGAATAATGATAACTTTCCTCCCTAAGTGGATGATTTTAGATTCTATCACTGCGGACTTCATACCATAAGGGCACTACATGGTTTTTGATGTCTTTGTGTGACATGTAAACGCTTTATTTCAATTACTGTGAAGAGATGTTTAGGGTAGTTGTTGAAAACGTGCTGTGCGCTGTTGGTGTTTACTGGTAATACTCAGCTTGACCACTAGGTGTCTAACTTGGCTATGAGCCGGGGAAAAGGACTGGTCCAGCACATAGACTGTATACTATTATACGGTCAATGGTTCAGCACTGCCCCTCGCGTTGTTCGGTGCCTGTTGGTTCTTCGCCTTATGCCTTTGTTGTTATTGTTAATTTCTTGCTTCTAGTTAAAGTTTGGACCAATGTCTTGTTGCATTCACTTGAGCACTTTAATTAGGTTGGGGCCCTGGAGTTGTCAAGCACACGAAATATACCAATTAGCAAACATCAGCAAGGAATAATAGGAGAAAATATCATGCTTTCAGAAATGAAATGTAGACACATTTCTATTTAAAGTTGCTCGCATGGATGTATCAAAGCACACGTTTTAAGTTTTATAAAAGTCTAAGCCAGCGACTAATATTATAGTAGGAGCACAAGTCTAAGCTGATAGTAAAAGCACATAGTGAAGCACAAGGAACCTCTGAGTCTGAATCAATATGAATTAAACTGTTACTGTGGAGATGGCAGTTGTAGATCATGCAATATGGGAGGACACAACAGCTATATGGTGGTCATTTTTGTGTCTTATATTTTTTGTAACAAGACAAGAATGATTAGGGGAGCACAATTATGGGCTGTGTTCACACTAAAGGAAAAATGTGTGGTCGTTATATTCACGGTTGCAAAATCACAATAGTGCACTGTGAAGATTCCTGAAAACATTTCGGCAGGTTGATGGAAAAATTTAAGTGAGAGAAGTGAAGAATATTGATTTAATTTGGTATTTAATATCTGGCCTCTTTTAGGGATTCATCACAATTCGACCAGTCACAATGAGCAGGTCTAAAAAAATGTATATATATTTTTCAACTTACTCATGGATCTACATATAATATACCCCTGGACAAATGTGTAGTTAAAGTAGCAAATGTGTCTTACCCTTAAGTAAGAGTTTAACAGGTCTTATTTTCATATTAGATCAAAATATGTCCACTCTGAACATTATGTATTTGATAAAAGAAATGGCAAAGGTCCTCTGTGGCGCAAACACAGTCTTCACCCTTCACTTTTCTCACTCTTTTCACTAAAGCTTTACAGAAGTAGCTCTTGTTGTATTGGGCCAGATTCCCCTGTCATCAGCTCTAACTCCAGGGCCTCTGTGTGTCATCCATGTGTGTTGCAATAGAAAAAGTTTCAAGTCGGCTTCAGTTCTAACACTGGGCTTCTATCAACAGCAGTAGAGTAAATGCATATTTATGATACAGATCTAGTCTAAGTGACCAAACCATAGTTCTATTTAAAGTATTTAAGACCGTGTATTTAAACTGTACATATGAGTATCTATAGTGAGAGTGGCAGGGTGTAAATAATAATTGTATATTTTAAACTATTTTTTTGATTTTTGTACTGTAGGTAATGTTACTTTGACGTCTGTTGCTTTGTGACGTTGGTGTGTGGTTGTGTTACAGTAAGCTGGGCGACTGTGGAGTAACTGAGGCGTGCATCAGACCAAGTAAATGTATTGTTTTTGGTGTTAAATGTGTGTTTTCTTCTCTCAATGTTGTGTGCTCCTGAATCCACTATACAAGCTGAAGTAATTGTTTCGTTGTCAAGTGGAGTGAGGTCGCAGCGTGTGCGATCTGTTTGTGACCTGGACTTTCACCACGATGGCAACAGCAATCAAAGGGTTGAACAAGAATGTTTCCAGTCAAAGAGAGATGTAAACTGTTCAAACACGTTACAATTAAACACTTTTAACAAACTGAACTTACAGGTGTGTTCTTTGTTTTCTTCAAGTCCTACTCTGAAATTATGATAACAAAGGTTTGGTATAAGTCACTTCATTCATTGTGATTTTCTATCAGTAACTAAAATGGTTTCATTATATCTGACACAGCTTGATTGAACCAGTGTGAGTGTGGGAAAGTGCACAGTGATTCTGATTCTCAAAGAGATTCAGGTTCAGGTTTAAAAACTATTCTTTTGATGTTTAAACACTTTCCAGATACACAGTGCCAGATTCAAGCCAACATACAGTGCCTTGCGAAAGTATTCGGCCCCCTTGAACCTTTCAACATTTTGCCACGTTTCAGGCTTCAAACATAAAGATATAAAATGTTGATTTTTTGTCATGAATCAACAACAAGTGGGACACAATCGTGAAGTGGAACAAAATTCATTGGATAATTTAAACTTTTTTTAACAAATTAAAAACTGAAAAGTGGGGCATGCAATATTATTCGGCCCCTTTACTTTCAGTGCAGCAAACTCACTCCAGAAGTTCAGTGAGGATCTTTGAATGATCCAATGTTGTCCTAAATGACTGATGATGATAAATAGAATGCACTTGTGTGTAATCAAGTCTCCGTATAAATGAACCTGCTCTTTGATAGTCTCAGGGTTCTGTTTAAAGCGCAGAGAGAACCATGAAGACAAAGGAACACGCCAGGCAGGTCCGAGATACTGTTGTGGAGAAGTTTAAAGCCGGATTTGGATACAAAAAGATTTCCCAAGCTTTAAACATCTCAAGGAGCACTGTGCAAGCAATTATATTGAAATGGAAGGAGTATCAGACCACTGCAAATCTACCAAGACCCGGCCGTCCCTCCAAACTTTAATCTCAAACAAGGAGAAGACTGATCAGAGATGCAGCCAAGAGGCCCATGATCACTCTGGATGTACTGCAGATAACTACAGCTGAGGTGGGAGAATCTGTCCATAGGACAACAATCAGTCGTGCACTGCACAAATCTGGCCTTTATGGAAGAGTGGCAAGAAGAAAGCCATTTCTCAAAGATATCCATAAAAAGTCTCGTTTAAAGTTTGCCACAAGCCACCTGGGAGACACACCAGACATGTGGAAGAAGGTGCTCTCGTCAGATGAAACCAAAATCAAACTTTTTGGCCACAATGCAAAACGATATGTTTGGCGTAAAAGCAACACAGCTCATCACCCTGAACACACCATCCCCACTGTCAAACATGGTGGTGGCAGCATCATGATTTGGGCCTGCTTTTCTTCAGCAGGGACAGGGAAGATGGCTAAAATTGATGGGAAGATGGATGGAGCCAAATACAGGACCATTCTGGAAGAAAACCTGTTGGAGTCTGCAAAAGACCTGAGACTGGGACGGAGATTTATCTTCCAACAGGACAATGATCCAAAACATAAAGCCAAATCTACAATGGAATGGTTCACAAATAGACGTATCCAGGTGTTAGAAAGTCAAAGTCCAGACCTGAATCCAATCGAGAATCTGTGGAAAGAGCTGAAGACTGCTGTTCACAAACGCTCTCCATCCAACCTCACTGAGATCGAGCTGTTTTGCAAGGAAGAATGGCCAAGAATTCCAGTCTCTCGATGTGCAAAACTGATAGAAACATACCCCAAGCGACTTGCAGCTGTAATTGCAGCAAAAGGTGGCGCTACAAAGTATTAGCGCAAGGGGGCCGAATAATATTGCACGCCCCACTTTTCAGTTTGTGTCCCACTTGTTTCAATTGTGTCCCACTTGGTGTTGATTCTTGACAAAAAATTTAATTTTTATATCTTTATGTTTGAAGCCTGAAATGTGGCGAAAGGTTCAATGGGGCCGAATACTTTCGCAAAGCACTGTAGCTCTACTTCTTGGAGCTGGGAATACAGAAGAAACGTTTGCAGCTGTCATCCACGGACTGGGTTTTCCTGTGACTGAGCTTTGG